TAGTTCGCGAATGTTTGCTAACGGAACAATCTCTTATCAGAGTTGAGCTAGGCTGAGATAATGAGAGCGATGTTATACGTTCAACGGCGAAATATAACGCTCGGCATAAGCGTCGGTTTCGGTGAGGCAACTTCATTCTCTCAAAACTCATTTCAAAGAAGAGAGACAATGCTGTACCCCCCCTCCCCTTGCCTCTTAAACTAACTTTCTGACTGTACTTTCTTTTAAAAAAAAAAAAAATTATTATAATAAGTCATTCACTTGTTTCATTAATTATTCTCGTTGTTATTTTTGAAATATTGCGCAGATTATTTATACATTATTTATCTTGTGCAATTTTAATTATGCAAGAACAGTAGGTGAAAGAAACAGAGTATTGTGCGCTTGACATTTTGCCGGTTCAGTATTTTCTGCAAGCTGGCGCCGCTGACATTCGATGCATTTATCTTCGTCACAGCACCCAAGAAACAATATTTACCGAGTCGCGAGATAAAGAGCCGCGGTTCGTGCGGCGGACTGCAATAATAAACTATCGCGCCGATGTAACGCTTAGCGTATCGAGTATTCGACGAAATGATAATATTCGGGTCGTTCAACCGCCTCGTGCACCTCGGAGAGAGCGAGAGAGAGAGAGAGAGAGAGAGATTCACGAAGCTGTGCGGGAGTTACGTAAAAATAAACGGTACGCGCATGCTGGGCACGTTTCCGTTCACAGTATAAAGCAGTAAACGTTTTAATTATCTGGAAAATCAAAACGGATAATAGGTGCGGATTTATGACATGAAATTGCATTGCCGATTAAAGGTCAAGCGGGAAAAAATAATACACGTTGCGAAATGCAGTACGCCGTAAACATCGCTGTTATTAGCTGCAGACTTTGGATACGTGAAACTATATAGGTAGATCTGTTTTTTTATTCCTATACTAGACTGCATTAGTACTCTCCTTTTCGCTTTTGCCAAACACATATACCTTTCTCACTCTTTACGTTACAAAAGTATACACTAGTTCAGCCACAAAAAACAGACCTATCGTGTTATTATCTTAAAAATGCTTGTAAAACATAGAATTCTGCTAGAACTAACGAAAGATGTCGCTGAAATTGCGACAAGTTATCAGCACTTTTTTTTTTCAAATGCCGTGACATCATCGACATTTAGAGTCTATTAAGGGGATGCTGGAGTGACGGCCGAACTTGATCGAGGTCGATAACACGTCGTTTTTGACGTTTTCGTTCCTGTCGAAAATCTGTAATTTCATACTTTTTCCAGCTTTGGACACAATATACACCAGGGCCAGGTACATTAGCTCGGATATTGTAATCGTGGAGAAGGAATTTTTATTCTGTGAAACTACTGCGAAGAGGTTAGACAGGAACGAAAACGTCAAAAACGCTTGTTTTATCGATAATACAGGCGGGTCCAGCATCGCCTTAACATGAATAATTGTTGAAATTCTTTTTCAAAGTACGTACATTGACACAATTGGGCCAGTACTAATGGGAACTGTAGTCAAAGGTGAAAATAGTTTTCTTTTTTTTGCACTTTAGAGGGAAAATATTACGCTAGGATTCGCGAAGTTAGCACGCTACATTTTCAATTTTTGTTTTTTTTTAATATAAAAATTGCCTTTTCACCTTGATGAAGAACTATAAAACTGTGAAAAGCATTACTGGAATTGTCAGTATTTTATTTTTTATATTAATAGAATGTCGTGGCAACTTCACAAGCACAACGACCGAGCGGTTCGAGTCGCGGACCACTCCTAGTTTTAGCGTCTATATAAGCCACGTGTCGAGTTACTGCATCGTAGCACGCCACTTTCCTATTTCCACTACTCCTCCTGTCCGATTTATCGCTAGACACAGCCGCGAGGTCATTCACATGGAATTTGTAACGTCTGTCGCGATTTGCGCACGTGGACGCGTCTCCGCTCCATTTCCTAAAGAAATTTCATGTATTTTCGCAAAGGTTGTACCCGATTTGGACGTTCACGTGCTGTAAATTTCATTTTTACACACGGAAAAGAAAAATGGTTATATCCAACATTATTTTCATTGAAAATAACACTGCTAATCCAGTATTAATGGCACAAAGATATCACGATCTCGTTTTAATAAAATTTTATTTGTTCCATTAATACTGTTATTAAATCGACATGGTTATTTTCAACTAAAATAATACTGTTGCTACATTATTTTTTTTTTCAAATGTATCTTTATCACTCGTTATTTATGGAGAGAAGATATAATGAACCTTATACAAAGCACCCAGCAAAAACAATCAGAGCGACTACAGCGAACGGCAAGAATCGCGAGAGAAATTCATCGAAAACGACGCGACGATAGGAACATTCGGAAGATTCTTTTTTTCCCCCTCGCTTCAACGGCGTCTTAAACGGAGGGGTCTTAACGGAGAAATTATCGCCACGACTTCCAATTCACAGTGGCAATCCTCGGGTCTTAAGTTAACTCCAGGGAACGTCGCTGCGCATCGGTATTCGGCGCGCAAAAGGTAAACCTTGCATTTTTTAATTCGCATCGTATCGCAGAAAGGGGTAACCCACCCTCGATACGAGGGTTACGCGAGATAGAGAGAGAGAGAGAGGGAGAGAACAGGGTGACTGTTGCGGGGACGCGGTTGCCATGGGAGGACTCGGAGGGTGTTCCAAGAGCTTCCAGCGGTTTACAATGGTGCCCTGGTTCCTCCAGGGCTCCCCCGTTCCCTCTGCCATGCCGCTGCACGGCAATACGCGGTCGCACACGAGATCGATCTCCCTCGAGTTACCTAACGGCTCTCGTTAGGCCGGCCGGCGAAGCTGAGAGAACCGGTATTATTGAAAAACTGGAACCAGCAGCCGCCGCCGCGCCGGTTCGTCGGCGAAACACGCTCGAGAACGGCCACGGAGAGCCTTATTGCGCAACGACTCGTCGATAAAAGAGTGCGACGCAAAAATATTATCCGCCTTGCGTCTGTGCATTCTAATGTCGCGACGTAAAGTGCGAAGGAATGTATAACGTGGTGTAAAAAGCCTACGTTTAAATATTAATTTAGATATTATCGACGATAACAGTATTATGTATCAAGCACAAGCGAAGCTTGTTCCTCAATCATATATAGTTACGATTTTATGATCGCGACAAATGTTCCCGCGCATAAAAAGTCGACGAAATAATCGCTCTAATTTTTCTTGCCGATAATAACTGCAGCAATAGTTACGAACATTAGTGCAGCGAATGTAACGTCATCGAACAGCAAGAACGCATCGCAGGCGCTAATTAGCCGCGTCATTGACTGCTTTAATTGTCAGAATTGTGTGCTGGCACATTTTCTAACGAGACTATATACAGCCCGGATGACTCTACCACGAGACAAGTCATTCGAAACTCTGCAAAAAAAAAAAAAAAAAAAACGCGCATCCTAATTCAGAAGGGAGAGCTGCTTTGTGTGCCAGTTATCTTTTCTTTTTCCATTCCCGCAAACAAGCGTCAAAATGGCAGGCAATTTGGAGGTCGAAGCCAGGTCCTAGGTCAAATTTTGTTAGGCATTACGGAACAGGGGTTAAAACGTGCATCACTTACGGTGTCTCCACCCTCAAGCTTTCTGTTACATAATGGATCGAAGGCAAAGACAATATTTTATCGACGGCAGATATATCGAGAGTTCGTAATTAGTCGTATTAACATGTCGAAATTAGAGGCTACAAATTGAAATCTCTTTTATAATTAATGCAAATTGCATAAGTCTCTGTAAAATTAATTTATCTGATTTATTAAATATTTCATAATAAAGTTCATTTCATGATGTAAAAGTTACATCTGCATCAGCATTTAATATTTCAATTAATAATAATTAAATAATTAAACAATAATTATACATAATTAAAATAACACACAATAAAAAAAATACAATATATAAATAGATAAATAGATTTTGTATTCTATATCTAAAAATACTTTTAAATCTATTTTCAGATACAAAATTTGCGAGCAAAAATTTTACAATGACATGCCATTACATTTTTAAGCAGAATTACGCTCTGTATTAATTCCGAAATAATGATTCAATCTCATTGTACTTTTGTAATAGAAACGAAAAAGGAAAACAGTTAACAAGATTAGTGTTAAATAAACATCGGCGTAAACAGATCGCGTTGGATTAACTTATGACAACTCCGTTAATGATATTCTTTACCTTTTTCCGGATCACCGGCGCTACCTGTGATACAGGTGGACAAGTCACCAGTTAACCGGAGTTGACGTTAATTGACGTTCGCACGAGAGGATTTTGCACGGCGAGTAACAGGTCAAGGGAAAAGCATAAGAGAGTAAAAATATTCTTTAACACTGGCATATATAGATAAACATACATACGTAATATATGCGCGCGCAAAGAGACACATGCACGCTACTCGGACTGCTCGGGTATTGATTTCTCTACTGCGTATTTAGGGTAGGACGACAGTGTTACAGGACGGGATGCGAAAGGATTCGCCAGGGGCGTAGTAGCTTATGCCTGATTTACGCTTGAAAGAACAATCTCTGCCGGTTGAAATTAATTTAACCAATTTCTACGACGGGAGAGAAATGATCGCTTCAACCTGATCGTCGATACCATTGATTCTCTCCGTTCAATTTTTTATATCTTATTCAAAAGAAATAAATATGCATTAATGATGCAAATATTAATAGTATATACAGTTAAATCCGTGTTTGATTATATATGATAAATTATTACGTTCCATTGCAAAAATAGTAATGATTTATTTTTTTCACTTCAGAGCAATTAAAAAGATTCCTGCTCCGTCAGTATGATGTTGCGTAACATGTTTTGAATGTTGTAATCGTTAACGATTTATCACTTCCCGAAAATGCAATCAGTTCATTTCACTTACAAAGCAACACGTCGTAATTCAAACGTCTCGTAAGCGAAATTCCAACGTATCAAAAAGTATATGTGTGTTTATATGCAATATATATACATGTATAAGTAGACACTTACCTTAATATGATAGGAGTTCAACTTGGTGCGGGGCAGGCTGTTGAAAGCGCTGAAATCCAGACGACGCGAAAAGATGCCGTTGGCGCCGCAACTTTGTCTGCAAACAGATAAAATAGAGTTTTTAATGGCGTTAAACAAATACGATTAAAAAATAAAACGAGTACCCTATACATATGAATTACACTAAAAAAATTTACTAAACTCAAATATATATTTCTCTGAATAGTATTAAGTAAACATTTTTTTATCTACACAATTAAATATTTGCTTAATTTTAACTACTCGGACTAATATTTATTAAAATTTGATATATTTTTAAATATATTTGTGTACGTATATAGTTTTCAACGTTAAATAAACATCGCGTGTGGTATATTTTTCCATATCGTTTATATATATTCAACGCATTCATATATTTACACTCTCCGGCTACTCTCTCTACCAAAATAGATGCTTATTGTTAGTAGAGAAGTGATCGAAAGATCATGGGTCAGAATCGTAAACGAACTCTTTAAAGGACTAGAAATGAAAAAGTTAGTGTTCCAGTGAATTTTCGCGATTCATAATAACTTCGGACCCTCGGCCTCTCGCTTGACAACTCTCCCTTCAAGGACGCCGATCGTACGACCCTCGTCGTGCACAAGCCTCACGCTTCCTTTATGCATGTGCGACAATGAAAGTGAACACGAAATATTTCTAAGCGCGTTTATGTGCTGTTTTTATCCAGCCCTACATCACTCGTCATAGAAAAAACCGTAAGTTTCCCAAGCAGAAGGGCATAAATTACCTTCGGCGAAAACATACTATAGGTACCTATTGTTACACCAATTGCCTGACGGGATATACATAAACTTTGTTCAGCAGAATATTGATTCAATTAAAAAAAAAAAAAAAAATGCTTTTGTGTGAAACCTCAAACGGTTATCTTGAAACAAGTAGAAACATCTTTACGACAAATTATTATCAATATGTAAGTAAGCAAGATCAATATTTTTCATTCATACTTTTTTCAAGTGTTCAAATTATAATTACAAATTCAAATTGTGAAAAGTATCGATAAAATGTTCCGTAACGGATTTAATTTCAGCTAATAAGCTGAGAATAATCCTCGCGCGCGATTATACGGGAAGATCGATCATCATCTACGATCGTACGTTTCTGACACCTACAAGTAAACACACCGGCTTCTCCAGTTGCGTAACATATTCAACACAACACACGAATCAATGACGGTCCCGGCTCGGCTTGACTCGTAGAAGATTCCGCTACAGGGGCACGGTGAATTAAAACGATAAAATAGAACGACAACAGGCGCCAGCGAGGTGGCCTCTCCAGGATACTCGGTGCGAGCGGGAGAATTACAACGACGACGACCATAATGGTCGTCGAGCTGTGCAACACACATCAGTTGCGTCACCAGGAAGACGAGCAAAGCGAGCGAACGCGCGCGAGCGATAGGCGTCAACACAGTGGCGAAAGGTAAAGTGGGGATCAGCTACGACCTTGGCCTCCACTCTAGCGAGACCGTCCCTCTATCGCCGCCTGTATTGGTTGTTTGGCAATGTCAGTCGAGGGTCACGAAAATATTGCGCACCGTCCAAGGCACGAGACGACAGTTTTCTGCAAGCGGAACGGGGGAAGGCAAAAACGCTCATTTGCATTATGCAATGCGCTATTCGACTCGTAAGTCTGTTATCAGACGACTACATGTTGCTATTTATCGAGATCGCTTCGAAATCCCAGCGCATTTTTCAACCGTACAATCATGAGGCTATTTTTGCAAAGATAAGTTCGACGGAACGTAATAAACAATTCGGGCATCGCACAACTTCTGTTATTTTCTCGTCTTTGTCAACACGAACCGAAGAACTACTGTGGCCCGGTTTCTTTTTTTTTTTTATCTACTGCTTAACTTGTGATTAGACTTAGTTAACCTGATGATAATGGGAAAATTGTATTTTTCTATCTATGATTGATCACTAAATTGCGTTTTGTAGTAAACAAGTTTTAAAGTTACTACTAAACAAAACCATTAGTTCAGTGATTAATTACAGCTGGAAAAATACAATTTTCACATTATCATCAAGTTAAGTGAGGATAAGTCACACTAAACCACAAGTTCAGCAGATAATGTAAAAACCACAGGTCTGTGTGCGAGTAATTTTAAAACACAGTATTAAAACTCACGTCTTTACACGAAAATGCATATAACAAGATAAATTGATAATTGATTGAATTACGACAAAAGTATACAATTATATCATACAATTATTAATTGTATAACTCTTATCGCGTGTCACGAAGACTAAATATACAAAGATTAAGCTATTCTAAAATACGATTAAGATCTGGAAAACATATGCTGCGGAAATATAAAGTTCATTCTTCGTCACTCACGTAACCGTTGGCGCCAGCAGTTATACATGTAATTCCACCAACCGTCACAACAAAGTAGTAAATAGCACGTTTGAGTCTATTTTTACATATCACGAACGATAAATGTTCACATGTACATTAAAGTCACATCCGAATATACATGTTATTATTTACCAGCCACGCGGTTATTCGGTTATCGCGTTTCGCATCGAGCAACGCGGTTTTTTTTTTTTTTTTTTTTCGAAATATCGCATCGTCACGGTATTCGAGCTGCTCGTTAGATCCGATGATAGAATTTACATCGGTTGGTCGCACGATGACTAACGCGCCGTTATGTAACGTGTTGTTATGAAAACTTAGTTGCGACAGGCGCGTAGCTTCGCGCGCGGGCGCACGTAACGTTCGCACGAAGTAAATAGCGCTGTTTACACCGCATTACCGAGATTAGTCGACAATGTTGAGGAGAGCCGATAAAACGCGAAGAACGCGCCGCGGCGCCGCTCCTTTTTTGCGCCGCGCCGCGCTTGGCAAACTCGCAACACACGTTGAAAATACACGTGAGTTAGTCGCGCGAGCCGCCCGCGGAAATTATTATCAATGCATACCACAATCATCAGCATACCGCGCCTCTATCTAAAGTTGAATAAAAAAAAAAAAAAATGTAAAAATTATGAGAAAGAGGTTGGACAGAGAGGAGGATTTTGTGTTTCTCCGTGATAAAAATTTGCCTTCCTGGCAAATTTGATAATCGGCGAACCGTGGCCTGAAATCCGATAGCCACAGTCGATTCTTATTATATTTCAATTTGTAAGACTGTTTCAAGTGTGGTGTCTTGAGACGTTACGTACCAATCATAGGCCGCGTTCGAAACTATTTTTATTTTAAGACCGTCTTAAGTAATGTCTTAAAATGCTAATGTGGCTCTCCGATTGGTTCGTGACACATCTTAAGGCATTACAGTCTTGGAATAAGAATAGACCATGAATACCAGCCCAAGTAATCCTTGAGAAAGATAGGCGTGTAGGAAGTATTCGCGGACCGGTTGACTTTCGTTTTCGGCGAAACATTCCTCGCATTCGACCATGGGGGACGTGGATAAAAAACAAACGAAAAACGAGAGAGAGAGAGAGAAAAAGAGAGATGGCACGCTGGAAGAACTCCGGAATAAAAATAAGAACATGGTAGTATACACGCGAAAGCCATTAAGTCGGACGTAACGGCGAGGAAAAAATAGTAGCCCCGTAGTCCGATTTAGTGCGCACCAACCGGTTTCCGTGCTTAACATACACACGCGCGCGCGTGCGCTATCTGTAGTACACACAACGGTGTGTGCCGCTGATGCAAGGAAGTTATTATCTAACCTTGACGCGGCGCTCGCAACCCATGCGGGCCCCCAAATTTCATGAGCACGTGTCACAGATATACCCCGGAATCTGGTTGTTATCGTTGCGCCGACAGCGGTGACGCACGACGACGCCAAGTGCCCGCTGCACTATTTTTAGTCGTGAACGCAATTATTACGCGGGAGATATACTTTCAGGTGTAATAATATATCGAGAGGTAAGGCGAGTGCGCGATTAATCGGTGCGCTCGAGTATAATTCCATTATGCCCGTTTCTATCAATATAGATCGCTCTTAACCTCGGTTTAACTTATCGCTATATTTGATATTTTTCTTCTACTTTAAGAACGAAGAAAATAAACAAGGTTATCATAAATTTTTCATCATTAAAATTCCATAACTTTTCCTCGACTTTCAATAAAGTTTTGAAACTTTTTGCATTTTCGGCCTGATTTGGGAACCGTTAAATGTTTTGTTACGAAACCAATTTAATATAGCAATATAAATTGTTATTAATGTTCCTGCTTTCATTTATAATTGTTAAATTGGTAGTATTCCAAAACTGCGTAGGTGTAACGTATATTGAACTAGAACTTCTTTAACACTGGATTTACGGGACCCGTCATCCATTAATTCAACAGGCATCCGGCGAAATAAGTAAATACTACAAACAGAATTTCAAAATTAGAAAGCTGAAGAGGAAATGAACTTGGATATATATTCATATCATTCCATTAATAAAAGTCAGCAAAACTTGCTAGGAAGTAACAGTAATGGTTTCTATAATTTTGGTCGTGAAATCCGAAACCCGTCGAATTAACGGGTTCCATAAATTTAACGTTAAAGTCAAGAATTTTTATTTTCCAGAAAATTCTGTAAAATTTCCTAATGTTTTCCTGATTTCCAGTTTAAATTAAATCAAAATTAAAGTTGATCAACGTTGATAGAAATAAACGTATTAATCAAATAGTAAAATGTTGCGTCCAAATTCCGTTCGATTAACAGCGTACGCTGAATTGTTCGCGTTCATGAAGTTTTTGTAATAAGAGCACTTGACAAACGGCCGTATCAAATGTTATTGCCATTGCATAGCATCAAATTATTGCAAACTAATTTCTGACAAAAATGCGTTAAATGAACATTATTAACTCTCTATATCAGGCATGGAATTTTGCATCGTTCGCCAGCAACCTGGGTCTTTGAGCTTCAGTGCAAAATTTCATATCGATTCAAATCGTGCATTTTAAAAAATGAAAAAATTTTTGAATACTCGTGACAGTTTTAACAAGTTTTTTTTTTTTTATGATACCATCACAAAAGTGTCAGATTGCATTTTTTACAGATTTAAATTTTTCAAAATATCTGCCACAAACTTTACA